TCTCAGTTTCCCTTTCTGTAAAGTGGAGGTTTGATTTACATTAGGGTCTGCAAACACTCCTAAAGAGCATATATGTTCTGTTTAACTCTCATGTTTTTAAAATCGTTTTTTGGAATGTCACCAGCATTTAGGATTTGGCAGATTTTATGCACACTTCTGGAAGAGATGTTCTCTGAGTGTCTGGGTTTACCTAGGGTGCTAAGAACAAGTGAAACTTTGCAACAGGGGCTGGGGCCTCCTGAAGAATGGATTGAAGGTATGACTTCTGGAGCTGACCCTGGAAGGCTAGGACTGTCACTGATGAGGAGTCTTGGTGGTTGAGGGGTGAGTGTTTAATTCCATGAGAGCTGGGGGGCTGGAGACCCCGTATAGGGACCCCTCACCCCTGCCTTTCTCCAGGGGAAGTGGGAAGAATGTGGAAGGACACGTGCCCAGTCCCAAGGTCTGGGAGGCTGAGAGGGGATTTCCACGTGTGGAGAAGCCAGACCCTTTACTTTAGAGAAGTAACTTACCAAGGTCATTGCTGGGTTCAGCTCTCAAACTCAGAGACAGTTTCTCACACACAAAGAGGCACATCACCCACAGCCAGTACCCAACAGACACAAGATGACTCCCAGCACACACTGCAGGCTGATGACGGGCCATGTCCTGTGCTAAGTGCCTGACACCACACCCTCATTAAATCTTCATCAACCCATCGACCTTGAGAAGTGGATATTATTCCCATTTTACAAATGAGGAAACTAAGGGTCAGGGTGGCAAAATCACTTTGCCCAGGGTCATGCAGTCATTTTGTGGTAGAGCCCTTGTGTGACAGATAACACTTGTCCCTTAATAACCATTCTCTCCTCTTTTTTTTTTCTTTTTTCTCTTCCCAGTGGTTGGAATGTGGATGTGATGGTGGGAGCTGGAGCAGCTGCCTTGGACCACATGGTGGAAGTGTGAGGTGAGGGCAGCAAAACAACAAGGTACAAGTAGCTACTATTCTAGCCCTGGGTGTTAAGTGGACCTTTACATGAGAGAAAAATTGGCTTCCTTCGTATTTAAGCTACTATATTTTTAAATCTTTGTTACAACGAGGAATAAAAAAATTCAGCTAATACACACATATAGACTAGGACCTCACTATCCTAATTTTCCACCAAGACAAAGAATGGGTCCTGTCACCTCTATTTTCTGCCCCCCATCCTCAAAACCAATTCTCAGATGATAACAGCAATCCCCATTGATCAAGTTCTTGCTCGGCACCATGGCCTGTAATGAGCACTGCACGTGTTTAATCCTCACAGCAACCCTGTGAGGTGCACACTGTTATTGTGTCCTCATTTTTACAGACGAGGAAACTGGGGCTCAGGACCATGAAGTCACTTGACCAAGGTCACACAGCCAGGAAATGGAAGTGCAGGACTCAAACTCATTTCTGACTCCAGGGTCTGTGCTCCCAATGACATGTAAACCTGTTATCCTACATCTTTTCCAGTAGTGCACACCTGTGCATATGCATACACCTCTGCATGCACTTAGAATGCTAGACACAGCCACACCCAACTCACCCACGAGGCAAGAGAGCCCAGAGATTATGAGCATATGGGCTTTGGAAGTGGCAGATCTGGGTTTGGCAAGCTACTTGCTCTCTCCGAGCCTCAGTGTTCTCATCTGGAACATGGGGCCATCATGATCAATAAATGATGCTATTTGTGTGTCTGTCCGTACAAATTGGCCACACTGTGTGACACAGGACCAGAGTCAGCCACAAAGAATCACAGACACCATAATGCAGGGGGGAATGGGTGAGGGGTCACTCATTCTGACATCACTTCCCAAGGGTCTCTTCCGCGCCCGGCAGTGCACTGGCCTCTGCGAACAGGGCTGCAGTGAGGGAGGCCAGAGCTCGTGGTTTTCTGGAGTGAGTTATTGCAGATGACATTACATGCATTGCAGGACTATCACATGGGATGTTCTCACACACAGCTGCTTGCAGAGCCCAACAGTCTGTAGTGGGTTGAATGGTGACTCCCTTCCCCAAAAGATACATGTACCCTGGAACCTGTGCATATGACCTTATTTGGACAAAGGGTCTTTGCAGATGCAGCTAAGCTAAAGATCTCAAGTTGAGATCATCCTTACTTATCTGGGTGGGCCCTAAATCCAATGACAAGTGTCCTTATAAGAGACGGAAGAGAAAAATACACAGAGAGGGCCAAGTGAAGAAAGAGGCAGAGACTGGAGTGAGGTAGCCACAAGCCAAGGAATGCCTGGAGCTACCAAGAGCTGGAAGAGGCAGGGAAAGATCTTCCTCTAGAGCTGTGGAGGGAGCACAGCCCTGCCCACCTTGATTTCAGACTTCCGGCCTCCAGAACTATGAGAGAATAAATTTCCATTGTTTTTTTTTTTGTTTTTTTTTTTTGTCTTTTGTCTTTTTTCCGTGTCCGGCAACGGATCGCAACCCTCAGTGTTGCCCCCGTACCGGACCGGGACCGGCCACGGGATCGCAACCCTCGGTGTTGCTCCCGCACCTCGCTCAGCCAGTGAGCGGGAACCGGTCTGTATGTGGGATCCGAACCCTCGGGCGGGAGCGCCGCCGCTCTTCCCAAGTGGCGCACTATTCAGTGCGCCACCGGGCCGGCCCAAAATTTCCATTGTTTTAAGCCACCTATTTGTGGCTATTTGTTACAGCCGCCAAAGGAAACTAATATACCCTCCAAATTAGGCAGCTGTAGGGACACCACAGTGCAGAGGAAGATTCAGAAACACTGATATGTGGTCACAAACACACACAGAGACACATGGCCATGCCAGCAGGAGGGCCAGGTGCACACGCATCACCCAGTCAGAGCTCACGCAGGAGTGTGTGTGCAGGGATGTGTAGCATGCACACATACACACACACAGAGCTATTCACGCACCCCAACAGTGTCACTTGGGAAGATGTTAAGGCAGTTGACCCCACAGATACAACCACATATTGTGGAGTCATGGTACCTAAGTGTTCACAATCACCAAGACCTCAAGGCCCAGGGAGGTCCCCACACGTTTAGAAAAACAATACTCATCATCACTCAGATACATAGAAACACAGGGTGACTTATGAAGACCAATAGAATGGGACCACGGTCACCAGCTTCTCCCGCAGGATACCCCTTTTGTCAGGCTGGAGGCAGTGGGAACTGACTGAAGTTCCAGCTTGTCCCTACTCTTCTGCCACTAAATATACACCTTTCCCTCCCGAACATGGTCAGATCCCTGTTCCAAAGCCCTTATTCGTATACCTTCTCGTAGTGCTGCTTCTTTGATTGTGGCTGACTGAATACAGGCTCCCCAAATATCTAAATCCTAACCTCTGGAATTCACGAATATTACCTTACATGCCAAAGGGACTTTGCAGATGTGATGGAGTTAAGGATCTTGAGATGGGGAAATGATCTTGGATTACCTGGGTGGGTCCAATGTAATCATGGGAGTCCTCATGAGGGGGAGGCAGGATATCAGAGCAAGAGATGTGAAAATGGAGGCGAGAGTTTGGAGTGATACAAGGAGGGGGTCACAAGCCAAGGAATGTGGCACCTTCTAGAGCTGGAAAAATCAAGGGAACCTCCCCTGCTTACACCTTGACTTGGGCCCAGTGAAACAGATCTTGGACTTCTGACCTCCAGTACTCTAAGAGAATAAATTTTGTTGTTTTAAGCCACTGAATTTGTGGTGATTTGTTACAGTGGCAGCAGGAAACTAATACAAACCCCAACTGATACACAGAAACACTCTGAAAAAGCATACGTGCACCCCTAAACACTCTGAAAAAGCATACGTACACACTTGTGGGGCACAGCTGCAGTAATAAAACCATTCGTATGCATAGATTCATCCATATGCATGGACAAATACAGACAAATACAGTCAAAACACAGACATCGTCTCCAGGGGTGGGGGTGGGGCAGCTGTGGAGCCACTGAGTAGAATGCGACAGACCACGTGAGGCAGTCTCACAGAAACAGTCACATGATGACGCCTGGTCTCAATGGAACACTCACAAACAATACACACACAGACACCCAGACACGATCAGAACTGTAGTCAGCTGTGCGTTACCACAGGGACCCACAAACTGCAGAACCCCTCAGAAACACACCCAGGGTCACTATGGAATCCAACAGGATTCTCTGGGAAGATGACACACACCACATCCTCCCCAGAAACAATGACACAGTGACACAATGATGGCAACTTTCACAAACACACCAGAAGTCCCAGAGTCACACACACGATTATAAGTCCAAGACTCACAAAGTCACTTACGGAGTCAGCTGAACACAGCGTACAGGTGTGTGTACACACAAACACACTTCCTCCAGACCTCATGAAAGAGGCCCAGCCAAGCAAGGAATATGGTACAAAAATAGTTTATTACAAAAGAAATTCAACCAAAATGCCTAATAATTTACACTGCTATTAGTGCCCACCTATGGCCCATCTCTCCCCTCCTCACCCATCTGGGTAGAGGGTAGAAGGGAGTGGTTGTTCCCTGGTTCCACAAGCTCTGGGAGAAGAGAAGGAAACGAGCACGTGCATGGAACTCCAGACAAGGGACCGATGCCTGAGAATGACGGGTGGGAGTTCTGGGCAGGAGACGAGAGGGGATATCTGTGTTCAGAAGATGGGGTTTATGGGAAGGTGCAGGGTCCCCACCGGGCCGCGCCGGGCCTAGTCGGGGGCCAGGGAAGGGCGGGGTCGGAGGACAGGGGGTGGGGGCCCGCGACGGTGGCCAGAACCTCGGGCGGGACCAGATCAGGGTGCAGTCCTAGGAGGCTGGAAGCTAGAACCGAGGGCAGGTCACAGCGGGATTGGGGTGGCGGCGCTGAGTCAACCGGAGCCAGACACGGCGGCCCAGGCCCAAGGAGGGGCGGAGTGGGAGGAGGGAAGGGTCCAGGATCTGACCCAGATCGTAGATGGAGTCGGGACTGAAGGACAGCGCGGGGACAGGGCGACAGCCGGAAGGCGGGGCCATCAAGACCATCGCAGGGAGGGACCCAGGCCACTGAGGGGGCAGAGGAATGGGTGACGGCCCGGGACAAGTTTGCAGCCAGGGGAGTGAAGTCAGAGAGGTGAAGAACAAGACCGAGAAGGAAGGTCAGAGTTGGAAGTGGAGGAAGAGCCGGAGCCAGAGCTGGAAGGCAAGGCCGGCGCCAGGGGCGGGGACGGCAGCAGAGCTAGGGACAGAGGAGGGGGTGGGCGACAGGCCGGGGCGGGGCACCCACCTGCAGCAGTAGCTGCACCATGCTCAGGCTGTTGTTTTCCACGGCATGGATGAGCGGAGAGCGGCCGCTCTTAATGTCCTGCGGCAGGGAAGGGAGGCCTTTGAGTCTTGCCAAGCTCGGGCCGAGTGCCGGCGGTCCGCCTCCCGTCCGCTGGTCCGACCTCCATCGCTCTCGATACTTCGACCCCACCCGACCCGGGCGCTCTCCCACGCCAGCTCCACCCCTGGCCACGCCTCCTGCTTGGTCCGGGCCCCGCCCCCTCCCGACTCCAGGCGCCTGCTCACCACGGCGTCGATGTCCGCCCCACGCTCCAGCAAGAGCAGCACGGCTTCGTGGCACTCGGTGTTCACGGCCACGTGGAGGGCGGTGAGCCCTGAGAGAGGGGACGGCTCAGTCAAACATAGGCCTGGGGCTTTGCAGCCCCCTATGGACCCCAGATCCGGCAGGACAGTCCCACCCTGCCCCGTGGTAGGTACGCACCGTCGTAATTGCGGGCCTCCAGGTCCACCGTGCCCGGGGCCGCGCTGTCCAGCAGGGCACGCAGGCAGCTGGGGCTGCGGTGCTCACACGCCAGGTGGGCCGCCGTCTGGCCATGGCGGTCCAGTGCCATAGGGCTGGCGCCAGCCATCACCAAGAGCCGGACCACGGACGGCAATGTGGTGATCACAGCCAGGTGGAGTGGTGTCTGGGGAACAGCGACTGTGAGGCACCTGTGCCCTGCCCTGCATGCCAGTCTTGCCTTCCTCAGCTATTCTGAATCCTGACTCCCAGTGTAGCCTTACCCAGGAATGGAAACTTGGGGCTTCTCCCTTAGACTCAAGAGTCAGACCCCCTGCTCTTCCTCCCTTCCGCTTTCCCCAGGGCCTGGATTCTTGGGCCCCAGTCTCCTCCTCCCTCACCTAAGAGGCTAGGTCCTTAGGCCCCCTCCCTGGCAGGAGCAAAGAGTCCAAGGCCCCAGGGCCCTTGCCCAGGAACCAGGAGTCTGGATCACCTCCCTGCTTAGCCCCAAGACTCTAAGCCCCCATCACCTCCTTCCTCAGACCCAGGATTCCAGACCCCCAGTCGTCTCCTCCCTCAGACTGAGGAGTCTAGGCTCCTGGCCTCACCTGTCGTAGGTTGTTGTAGATATCTAGCTCCCGGCCCCCATGATGGAAGAGGTTGACAAGCCGATGCACTGCTGGCAGGTTACCCTGCACCACAGCAATATGGAGAGGCCTGGGGGCAGGGCGGGGGGAGAAATCACAGACATTACAGGCTGGTCACCTCTCACCTCCATGCTGTTGGCAGTGAAAACTCCAACTCCCTCTGTTGGATACTTTGGAAGTATCTCCAGAATCCGACCACTTCTCCCCACTCCCACTCCCTCCACCCCGGATGAGCCACCACTGGTTCCCTCCTGGACTATTATAGTCTCCTTCTTGCTGGCCTCCCTGCTTTCATCCCTGCCCAACTGTCTGTCCCCCACACAGCAGCCAGAGGGACCCTTTTAAAACCTAAGTCAGATCATGCTCCCACTCCCCAAGTCCTCNGCCGCTCTTCCCAAGTGGCGCACTATTCAGTGCGCCACCGGGCCGGCCCAAAATTTCCATTGTTTTAAGCCACCTATTTGTGGCTATTTGTTACAGCCGCCAAAGGAAACTAATATACCCTCCAAATTAGGCAGCTGTAGGGACACCACAGTGCAGAGGAAGATTCAGAAACACTGATATGTGGTCACAAACACACACAGAGACACATGGCCATGCCAGCAGGAGGGCCAGGTGCACACGCATCACCCAGTCAGAGCTCACGCAGGAGTGTGTGTGCAGGGATGTGTAGCATGCACACATACACACACACAGAGCTATTCACGCACCCCAACAGTGTCACTTGGGAAGATGTTAAGGCAGTTGACCCCACAGATACAACCACATATTGTGGAGTCATGGTACCTAAGTGTTCACAATCACCAAGACCTCAAGGCCCAGGGAGGTCCCCACACGTTTAGAAAAACAATACTCATCATCACTCAGATACATAGAAACACAGGGTGACTTATGAAGACCAATAGAATGGGACCACGGTCACCAGCTTCTCCCGCAGGATACCCCTTTTGTCAGGCTGGAGGCAGTGGGAACTGACTGAAGTTCCAGCTTGTCCCTACTCTTCTGCCACTAAATATACACCTTTCCCTCCCGATCATGGTCAGATCCCTGTTCCAAAGCCCTTATTCGTATACCTTCTCGTAGTGCTGCTTCTTTGATTGTGGCTGACTGAATACAGGCTCCCCAAATATCTAAATCCTAACCTCTGGAATTCACGAATATTACCTTACCTGCCAAAGGGACTTTGCAGATGTGATGGAGTTAAGGATCTTGAGATGGGGAAATGATCTTGGATTACCTGGGTGGGTCCAATGTAATCATGGGAGTCCTCATGAGGGGGAGGCAGGATATCAGAGCAAGAGATGTGAAAATGGAGGCGAGAGTTTGGAGTGATACAAGGAGGGGGTCACAAGCCAAGGAATGTGGCACCTTCTAGAGCTGGAAAAATCAAGGGAACCTCCCCTGCTTACACCTTGACTTGGGCCCAGTGAAACAGATCTTGGACTTCTGACCTCCAGTACTCTAAGAGAATAAATTTTGTTGTTTTAAGCCACTGAATTTGTGGTGATTTGTTACAGTGGCAGCAGGAAACTAATACAAACCCCAACTGATACACAGAAACACTCTGAAAAAGCATACGTGCACCCCTAAACACTCTGAAAAAGCATACGTACACACTTGTGGGGCACAGCTGCAGTAATAAAACCATTCGTATGCATAGATTCATCCATATGCATGGACAAATACAGACAAATACAGTCAAAACACAGACATCGTCTCCAGGGGTGGGGGTGGGGCAGCTGTGGAGCCACTGAGTAGAATGCGACAGTGTTAGTCTCACAGAAACAGTCACACGATGACGCCTGGTCTCAATGGAACACTCACAAACAATACACACACAGACACCCAGACACGATCGGAACTGTAGTCAGCTGTGCGTTACCACAGGGACCCACAAACTGCAGAACCCCTCAGAAACACACCCAGGGTCACTATGGAATCCAACAGGATTCTCTGGGAAGATGACACACACCACATCCTCCCCAGAAACAATGACACAGTGACACAATGATGGCAACTTTCACAAACACACCAGAAGTCCCAGAGTCACACACACGATTATAAGTCCAAGACTCACAAAGTCACTTACGGAGTCAGCTGAACACAGCGTACAGGTGTGTGTACACACAAACACACTTCCTCCAGACCTCATGGAAGAGGCCCAGCCAAGCAAGGAATATGGTACAAAAATAGTTTATTACAAAAGAAATTCAACCAAAATGCCTAATAATTTACACTGCTATTAGTGCCCACCTATGGCCCATCTCTCCCCTCCTCACCCATCTGGGTAGAGGGTAGAAGGGAGTGGTTGTTCCCTGGTTCCACAAGCTCTGGGAGAAGAGAAGGAAACGAGCACGTGCATGGAACTCCAGACAAGGGACCGATGCCTGAGAATGACGGGTGGGAGTTCTGGGCAGGAGACGAGAGGGGATATCTGTGTTCAGAAGATGGGGTTTATGGGAAGGTGCAGGTGCTTCTGTGCAAATCCTGGTCCCGAAGATGGGGGGGGGCAGAGTGAGATCTTCACAGTTTTCAAAAGAGTGGACCCCCACAGGGCAGGGAGGCCCCTCCTCATGAGTCCGAGATCTGCCCCCCCATCCCTCTCAGCTGCCTCCTGGAGCTGGGGAGGGGGGCACTGGCCGGCCAGGGCCTCGGAGGACCCCGGCAAAGGGCAGGAAGGCAGGTGGAGATGAAGGAGGCAGGAAGAAATTGGGGGGAGCCATGGGGAATCCAGGGGGCTCCTTGGGGGGAGACTGGGAGGGCGAGGAGGATGGCGACGCAGAAAGAAGACCTGTGGAGGGGAGAGAGAGGAGGAGAGGGCAGTGAGAGGCTAGACCCCGAGAGAGGGGTGGGGCCGGCTCCTGGGTTCTGAGGGGCGAGGGGCGAGCCGGCAGGAGGGCTGGAGGCGGGGAGCGGGCTTCTCACCATTGGAGCTGAGGCGGCTGCTACTCTCAGGGGAGGTGGTGGCGCTCCTGTCGGGGGACGGCTCCGGCTGTGATGTGGAGGTAGGCCGGGTGGCCTTCCCCCTCAGGATGTCGATGACCTGTGGGAAGATGGGCGGTCACCCCCAGGCCACACCTGCCCTCCTAGCCGTCCCTTCCTCTCTCTCCTTGTTCCCGGGATCTGTCAGCTGGGAACTGAGCATCACCTGTTTCCCAGTATGTGAAGGTGGACAAGTCACTTCCTTTCTGTGTGCCTCAGTCTCTCCTCATCTCTACCACTCACACCCGCGCCCCTGCACGCATTGGCACGGACTCACTCACACGCCCTCGCACACTCACTGTCACCTGCCCGCGGACACGTGTGCAAGGCTCCTACGCGCACGCGCTCCCCGCCCACGCGCGCACTCACCCGGCGGCTGCGCGCCACCATGAGTGGCGTGTCATTGTGGCAGTTCTTGAGGCCGCTGTCAGCGCCGCTGCGGACCAGCGTGCGCACGAGCGGGAGGAGCCCGCGGCCCGACGCCGAGTGCAGGGCCGAGCTGCCCGAGTACATCTGAGCGTTCACGTTGGCGCCGTGCTGCGGGGCGGGGACGCGCGGGTCAGAGGCGGTCCCCACCGGGCCGCGCCGGGCCTAGTCGGGGGCCAGGGAAGGGCGGGGTCGGAGGACAGGGGGTGGGGGCCCGCGACGGTGGCCAGAACCTCGGGCGGGACCAGATCAGGGTGCAGTCCTAGGAGGCTGGAAGCTAGAACCGAGGGCAGGTCACAGCGGGATTGGGGTGGCGGCGCTGAGTCAACCGGAGCCAGACACGGCGGCCCAGGCCCAAGGAGGGGCGGAGTGGGAGGAGGGAAGGGTCCAGGATCTGACCCAGATCGTAGATGGAGTCGGGACTGAAGGACAGCGCGGGGACAGGGCGACAGCCGGAAGGCGGGGCCATCAAGACCATCGCAGGGAGGGACCCAGGCCACTGAGGGGGCAGAGGAATGGGTGACGGCCCGGGACAAGTTTGCAGCCAGGGGAGTGAAGTCAGAGAGGTGAAGAACAAGACCGAGAAGGAAGGTCAGAGTTGGAAGTGGAGGAAGAGCCGGAGCCAGAGCTGGAAGGCAAGGCCGGCGCCAGGGGCGGGGACGGCAGCAGAGCTAGGGACAGAGGAGGGGGTGGGCGACAGGCCGGGGCGGGGCACCCACCTGCAGCAGTAGCTGCACCATGCTCAGGCTGTTGTTTTCCACGGCATGGATGAGCGGAGAGCGGCCGCTCTTAATGTCCTGCGGCAGGGAAGGGAGGCCTTTGAGTCTTGCCAAGCTCGGGCCGAGTGCCGGCGGTCCGCCTCCCGTCCGCTGGTCCGACCTCCATCGCTCTCGATACTTCGACCCCACCCGACCCGGGCGCTCTCCCACGCCAGCTCCACCCCTGGCCACGCCTCCTGCTTGGTCCGGGCCCCGCCCCCTCCCGACTCCAGGCGCCTGCTCACCACGGCGTCGATGTCCGCCCCACGCTCCAGCAAGAGCAGCACGGCTTCGTGGCACTCGGTGTTCACGGCCACGTGGAGGGCGGTGAGCCCTGAGAGAGGGGACGGCTCAGTCAAACATAGGCCTGGGGCTTTGCAGCCCCCTATGGACCCCAGATCCGGCAGGACAGTCCCACCCTGCCCCGTGGTAGGTACGCACCGTCGTAATTGCGGGCCTCCAGGTCCACCGTGCCCGGGGCCGCGCTGTCCAGCAGGGCACGCAGGCAGCTGGGGCTGCGGTGCTCACACGCCAGGTGGGCCGCCGTCTGGCCATGGCGGTCCAGTGCCATAGGGCTGGCGCCAGCCATCACCAAGAGCCGGACCACGGACGGCAATGTGGTGATCACAGCCAGGTGGAGTGGTGTCTGGGGAACAGCGACTGTGAGGCACCTGTGCCCTGCCCTGCATGCCAGTCTTGCCTTCCTCAGCTATTCTGAATCCTGACTCCCAGTGTAGCCTTACCCAGGAATGGAAACTTGGGGCTTCTCCCTTAGACTCAAGAGTCAGACCCCCTGCTCTTCCTCCCTTCCGCTTTCCCCAGGGCCTGGATTCTTGGGCCCCAGTCTCCTCCTCCCTCACCTAAGAGGCTAGGTCCTTAGGCCCCCTCCCTGGCAGGAGCAAAGAGTCCAAGGCCCCAGGGCCCTTGCCCAGGAACCAGGAGTCTGGATCACCTCCCTGCTTAGCCCCAAGACTCTAAGCCCCCATCACCTCCTTTCTCAGACCCAGGATTCCAGACCCCCAGTCGTCTCCTCCCTCAGACTGAGGAGTCTAGGCTCCTGGCCTCACCTGTCGTAGGTTGTTGTAGATATCTAGCTCCCGGCCCCCATGATGGAAGAGGTTGACAAGCCGATGCACTGCTGGCAGGTTACCCTGCACCACAGCAATATGGAGAGGCCTGGGGGCAGGGCGGGGGGAGAAATCACAGACATTACAGGCTGGTCACCTCTCACCTCCATGCTGTTGGCAGTGAAAACTCCAACTCCCTCTGTTGGATACTTTGGAAGTATCTCCAGAATCCGACCACTTCTCCCCACTCCCACTCCCTCCACCCCGGATGAGCCACCACTGGTTCCCTCCTGGACTATTATAGTCTCCTTCTTGCTGGCCTCCCTGCTTTCATCCCTGCCCAACTGTCTGTCCCCCACACAGCAGCCAGAGGGACCCTTTTAAAACCTAAGTCAGATCATGCTCCCACTCCCCAAGTCCTCACCACGGTCCAAAAGGCCCTGTGTGACCTTGCCTCCCCTCTTACCCTTTGACTCATCTCCTTCCACTTTCCATGCTGGCCTTCTTCCTACATTCCTCAGACTTACCAAGCACACACACCTCCCAGGGCCTTTGCACTGGCTGTTCCCTCTGCCTGGAACAGTCTTACTCAGATATCGGCAGGGCTCGTTCCCCTCATTCGGGCAGAGGCTAAAACGGTATGGCAGCTACTCTCTTTCCCTCCCTCTGCTTAATTTTCCTCCACATCATCACCTGACACATGGTATAGTTTACTTGTTTCCTGCCTGAATCTCCCCACCAGAATGTCAACTCCATCAGGCAGGGCATTTTGCCTGCTTCGTTCACTGCCCACTGCTGAGCAGGTGCTCCATGAACATGCATTGAATAGATGAATCCATCTCAGTGGTCACCCTGGCCATGCTTGAAGTTGGTGGCCATGTTCCCACCCCTCTCCGGCCACAGTTTTCTCATCTGTGAAATGAGTGGGGATGAACTAGATGCTACAAAGTCTCTACCAGTATATCAAGTTCAGCCTCCAACCCAAGAGATTTGGCTGATTATCTATGTGGGACAAAATCTTTGACTAAAAGGGAGGTGGGACAAACTGGGAAGGGGTCATTGTTCTGGATGCTGGACTGTGCAGCCCAGAACCCCCTTCTAGACTGAAGGACTCATTGCCCCAGCTTCTGGGAAGATTGTCAGCTTTCAGACAACCTCAGCTGAATACATTCACTTGCCCAAGGTCATGCCCCATGTGGATGGGGACAGCCACAATCTAATGGCATCCAGTGACTGGTCAATGCCAGCACAGAAGGCCTGGCCCCAACTCCGAATGCCACCCCAACCTCAACATTCCACATGGGACGCCTGAGGCCCTGTTGAGAAGACACAGCAGCTCAACTTCTCCCTCTGCTCAGACCTGTTTCCTTCATCCCACAGGTGTTGATCCATCTCCCCATAAACTCCCTGCTGGCTTCCCAGGGTTCCCAACCTAGAACAGCCATTTAGAGCTGAGGGATGTGCACAAGCATGCGTTTGCATGAGCTGGGGGACAGAGTTGAGGTGTTTGTATGTTGTACGTGGTTGCATGCACGTACACAGGCTGCATGACCTTTATTTAAAGTCCATTTATTAGAGCAACTGCTTTCTCACTGACCAGGGCCTTGCGAAGGCAGGTAATCAGTGCCTCTCCCAATTGTTGGAATGTGCATCCAGAATCCAGTTTAAACCAGCTTCCCAGGGGACTCTGATGGAAGTGCAGAAATCCTGGGACCTTTGGCGGCTGAGCGGGCCGGGGCTGCAAATTGGTCTGCAGTTCTTTCTAGCTGTGTGCAAGGGCAAGTCACGTGGCCTTGCAGAGCCTCAGTTTTCTCCTCTGTAATGTATAGCCCATAATAACGCCCACAAGCCAGGATGAGATTATGCAGGTGAATCGCTGAAACTGGATCCTAATCGTGAAAGCCAAATTTAAAAAGAAAATGTTGGAGGAAGGGCCAGAACTGGGCCAGGGCTCCCTAGGAAGGGACCCTTCCCCCCCCCCCCCCCCC